ATTCATTTTTCATCTCTCCATTTTTTTAACTTCACACAATTCTTAGGAAAAAAAAAACACTTTATATTGTTTCCAGAATAACAGTAAACCATCGTTACTCAGTGACAAATGCACAAAATGCCCCTCGATTTGATCTATAATCTGAAAAAAAAAACAAAAATGAAATTAAATTTGCAAATCGAATTAAATCAGATAAAAATCAAATTAATTTAGCGTGTATTATTTGAAAGATAACATTGAAAAACTGAAAAACAGGCTTACACTGTCAAATTTGTAAACCCGTTCACCGGTGGTAAAGTAATTATCGATTAACTCCGGAGATTTTTTTGTGCTTGGTAGACGATGGATCGACATATTCGAATCACTCAGCAAACCTTACCTTTATTTATTGAATTCATTAGCGCCTCTCTTTTATTTTTTAGACCCGAAGAAATAATTATAAAAATAGCGATTAACAATATCCAAATATCTAATATTGCTATGATAGACGTAATAGGTCTTTGTCTTCAATAATTTTAGTGCAGATGAATTTAAATGTAAATGGTAGCAAAACATAGAAAACAAACTAGCATCAAACGGAAATTGCAAAGAAATATTATTCTAAAGCACTGAAAAGAGATAGTTAAAACTGTAAGTTTTGGAAAATGAAAGAAAAAATCATGACGGCTACACTGTCTTTTTCATAGAATATGATATAAGTTAAGTGCATGATAAGAATGATATTGGAGCTTTGCATCCAAAGATTATAGCAAAGTTAAATCGAATAGCTTGCAAATAATGCATGCAATACGATTCAAATTTTATTTGATTTTTTAGATTATTTTGTTTTTGGATTATTTGATAATGCTCGTTCTCGGTTCATACAAAAAGTTTTATATCCTTTCATCAAATATTTTATTCATTTTTTCTGGAAATTTTTGCTAAAAAGAATTAAATAATTTACCATATCTATCGGCTTATAACTATTATGAAAAACATATCAGTTGAAAAGTCAAACATTTATTTGTGAGAAAATTTACTTAAATTTTGAGCCACCGCAAGCAACTCATTCAACGACCCTCAAATCTTCCTTTTCTGTCAATTTCTAATTTATTTTTTAAAGGAAGTATGTGTAATGGAGAAGCAAGCATAAAATACAAAAAAACATTATTTTTATATAATTACAAACAACTTTTTTTTTGGATTTCATTTTATTTCATTAGATAGTTTTACCAAGTTATAACTTAATGAATGCAAAGATTAGCAGAAAACTAAACTAGGTGAATATATAAAATCCCGGTAGAGTAACAGTTGAAAAGATTATATGAAATTTTAAGGAAAAAATAATCTTTTTCACAAGTAATAAAACACAAATCTATCACTAGTTTTGTCAGCCCTTTCAATCTTATCAGTCGTTATCATCATACATCCACAAATTAGTACCCGCTAAATTTGAATTCGTATGTCAAAATTTCTCGTAAATTGTAATACTTTTGATAAAATCTATAGAAAATTTGATTTCAATGCTAAAAAATCAATCGAATAGAATTACTAAATGTGTTGGTAACGAATATTAAGTATTATTATTACTAAATCAACTGATTACGTGTAGATCGGATGAATTAAATTAGAATGAATTTTGTTTGAACATTGAATTAAATCGTCAAATTCTTCAAAAGCAAACAATGCTAAATTTTGCTTTGAGAATTTTGCAGAAAGATGAATAAATAATCTCTCGAGAGAGAATACCACTTTTCTCTTCAAAAGCAAATCTCTCCCAACAGTTAATGCAATATTTTATTGAGGTAACAAGCAGAATTAGATTAACTTTAAATTCTAAACGAACAATTTCTATTTTTCGGAAACTTCTGAACTATTACTCTTAGAAGATTAAATCGTGTTTCGCTAATGTTATTTCATTTCAGGTGAATTAGACACAACAATTCTTTACAGAAAGAGGTAAAGGTAAATGTAGATTGATTGTTGAAATTTCTTTAATCAGCAAAAAAGAGATGAAAAGACTGCAACAAAAAAAAAATAAAATGAATCGACGGATCAATATTTTTGTGCTTGAACAAAAAAAGGGAAACGAATATGATAGTCATTTGCCAAAATTGAAACGAATTAAAATCGAGAGAAAATGAAGTGAATTGAATCGATTTGATCAATATGATCAAGAATGAATAGTGAATCAATGATGATTTGAAGCGATGTGTCATACATTTACCATTAAACAGTCGATATTAATGGGACAAAATGCAAAAATCAATGGCGGAAAATAGTTTTATTTGAAGCAAAACAAAAGTGAGTGAACAGAATGAATGTCATTTGTGCAATACAAAGAACAAAAATCAAACGAATGTAAATTTATAGAAAGTTTTTTTCTATTAAATTCAAAAAGCGAGAAATTTCGTTATGAATTTATTTACACACATCCCAACGTCATGTAAATTACATTGGATTTCAATTTTATTGGTAAATTCTGATCAATAATCAATTGAACTGTTTAATTGTATTCTTATCTCTGTGTCCAATGTGAACACATATTAGGAAGATCCTTTCTATTTATCTTTCATATTTATCATATTTCTCTTTCTCATGTTCCTTTTCAATACTTTGATTAATGTTAAAACTTAGCAATTAAATTCATGCGTGGACTCGGACAAAGAATGCTGTAAATATGACATGTGATATGACAATTTGATATGACAATTTGATATGACAATTTGCAAAAAGCTCTTATCGTTACAATCCCTATCACTACAAAGTTCGAAAAATGGAATTTTTTAGGTTGAATAGAGTGAATCTTTTGTGCCTTTGGGCGTTTTTTAAAAACATCTCTCTGTCCGATCTTCATGACTAAAAGAATTGATTCTTTCGTTCCAATCGGGAGGCAATTTTCCTTCTTTCACCTGAAACACTGCGGGAAGTGTCGAAGTAAAGAGGTGATCATCGAATTACTGATAAAATCAGGGTCAATTGTCAGGTCTTTCTATAATTGCATTCATATAAAATACATCATTATTTGAGTGAGTGCTAGAATGATTATAATTTTTCAAAACGGCAGCCAAAAACATAAATGGTTTAAGCATCTCTTTTATGGAATGAAAATAATTTAAAGTGATGAGTCCAACTATCAGAAAGAGTTCAAGAACAAAATGAGAAAAAAACCTACTTAAATGTATTGTTCCATCATTTTGATGCATGGAATGATTTCAGGATTCCTTTTTTTCAAATCAAATTACTTTTTCGGGACTTTTTCTTGATCATTTCATTATGAAATTTACTATTTGTTATGAAATTTTTTTTAAATATGTTTTTGACAAAAAACTGGATTTC